CTACTCTGTCGTTTACGGTCTCCACTTCACTTGGAAGCTGAACACAGTTGTCATCACCAACGAACTTGATAAACAATGAACGGACTTTGTCACGCACTTTGGTATCTCTGATCTTCTTTAGAATGTTATTGTCTTTAATTCTGTCTCTTGTCTCTTCTAGAGAGATGCTTCTTTCCTCTATAATTTTCTTAAAGACTCTAACGAGCTCGTCTTCTTCTGCTTTTGTCCAAGCATGTCGATCAACAGGCGAGGTAGGTGTTCCCTCTTTCAAATCTGCATGTGCGCTTACATTTTCTTGTGCCATTTCTTCCCCCTTCTCCTTACAATCACTTTCTGCTTCGTTCGCTTCACCAGTAATGGATTGGCAGCTCTTGCCATTACGTGTATCTCTAGCTGATTTTCCTTTCCAGATATCTTGTAAGCTCTCTGATGTTTTGGCGGCATTTTTCTGCTTTCGTCTGATGAGGTAAAACTTCTCGGCTGTCTTCTGGTTGTGACTCATTAGATCAGCAAGTTTGCCTTTAAGATGAGAATGGTTTTCATGAACGACAGAAACAGCTGCTTTCCTGAAGGAAGCGGCATTTACCCTTTCTTTACGATTACCTGTACACTTCTGCCACAAAGAGTTAATTTGTGCTGAGACCATAGATGAAGACATCGCTTTTCCAGACCAACTTGGGAAAACGTGCTCATCCTTTCGACGTGAAGCTCCAGGAATATGGTTGCGCATGTGCACCACAAAGACAAGAACCCATTTGTTTAGTGTTTCACTTAGTACCACTGTGGCTGGACCATGCGCTTTTAAGGTCTTGTGATTGAAGACTGTCACCACATATGATCCCTTTTCTTTCTTGGCCTTACTCAGCTCTCCCATGGTCATACCAGACAATGGCCCAGCCCGGCATGCGTTGTTAATGCTAAGACTTGTTAAGAGGAAGTCACGAACAAGGCAACACTCTGATTGAGTCGGTGGGACATCACCAGTAGAACCAATGCTTTTTCCCAAGATTGATACTGCTTTACGTGCATTATCTGATTTTTCGAATGTCTGAATATCTGCAGGTGTTATTAGCTTCTCGAGATCCTCTATTTGCTTTTCCCAGCGACGCTGTGCAATAGGGCCATTGTATGAACTCATCCATTCATTAACTTGCTCTTTGACCTTCTGAGCATGTTCTTGATTTTGTACTATTTCACTTGGATTCTCTACTATCAGGAATCGTAGGAACTTTGACAAAAAACCAAGATAGCTTTTGCATGTACCAGGTTTTCTTTTCTTCTCCAGGGGAGTTAGCCATTTGTCACGAAGGTTTTTCATATCTAACAGAGAAGCAACAGTCCCTTGTACTGGGTYGACAGCACGTATTATTGCCGAGACTTGTGAACAGTATTTTCGGGATGTTTGAAGGTCTCTACGTCCTCCGTCAATCCCTTGAAGCCATGTTTTGAATCCTTCTAAGATTTTCTCTGTTGTTGCGTTGCTAGTAGCTGCAACTTGGCTGGAATCACTCAGCCCAGACTCCATCTCGTTTTCCTCCTCCTCTTCCCCAGACTCATCTTCCTCATCTTCTTCCTCTTCCTCGCTCTGTTCATCAGCAAACCACTCGGGATCTTGGAAATCGTCGACATAGCTGTCACTTTCACTAGAGGTATCTTCTTCGTGCATTGATGTTTGGTCTTTG